GGTGGCCATCTGCTGAGGGCAGGCGGCTACTGCTGCTGCCTGGGAACGCGGGGCCTGAAAACATGGGCACCAGCTACAGCACGCGTTTCCTGTGGCTCCATGAAGGATAAGGCACACGTGGAAGTTACCACAATCAAGTAGGAAGTTGCTGGGCTGCCTTGAACCCTCTTTTCTGAGCTGCTGAGGGACGGTCTCTTCAGAGGAAGCAGATGGCTCTGTTAGAATCACGTGCATCTGTGCGTCATGGTTGTAAGCGCTGAGAAGTGGCTGCGAAGGCAGTGAGGCAGTGAGAGCAGTGTGTGAGGGGAGCCAGCCCTGGGAGGGGGGTGCTTCCGTGGAGAGCGGTCCCACGCGTGAACATGTGCGAATTAGTCGGTGGTTGGGAGTTTGGGCACCCATGCTGCCACCGGTGGTGAGACCGAGGTTCCATTGTCTCCCCTTCCAGAGAGAGGCCCCGTCACACCCTGTCTTCCTCGCGGTCCTTACAAGAAAGCATGCAGCCCACCGCTCAAAGCATGCTGATCCTTCGCACCAGGTGTTACGGGTGCAAACTCGCAGGGCGGCCACACCGGGCACTGACTTGTGCTCTGACAGCAGGAGGGCAGCCCCTCGGGTGCTCAGGGTAAATCCGGGGTCTCCGCCCTGCTGGCTGCACCTCTGCTGTCCAGCCTTCACTTGCAAAGTTTGACCTTACCGTCTTTTATTTCGGTGTCCCTGTTGTCATCAGGCGTGGATCCTGCTAGGGACTCCTGGCCCTGAGGCCGACCACAGCTCCCAGGACATGTCTCCTTGTGCACGTGGACTGACAGACATGCTGTCTGTCTTCTGTGGACGTAGACGCAGAGTCACCTAGGATCAATGGACCCCTGCAGCGTTACATCCCCTCAATAGCCTCCGAGAACACCTTTTCTGTTCACAGTGGCCTGGAGTAGAGCAGATGGTTTCGTTTGAAGACTTAGTAGCAGAAACATCTTTGCCTCCTAAATTGTTTACCCATCAAGTTTCATAAGTGCTCCGCAGCTTTAATGGCCTCAGAGGTAAAAGGAATGTTCACACACGTGAGCCCCTATAGACGCTCCCCTGCACTGGGTTCTGTGCTGAGAAAGCCTGAGGCCGGGGTCCAGCCGCTGGCTGGCTGAGTGTCAGAGCTGGAGTCACCTGGGCAGCCGCTCTGACCTCCAGGCCTGCTGCCCCGCATGCCCACCTCAGAGGAGGTGCGGTGGGGATGGACTGAGGGGTCTATACAGTGTTCAGCAGACCCGGCCAGAGCCATTCAAGCAGAGCTGCTGCCCTTTATCAGGAGCTCAGTCACCAAGAGGGCTCTGAGCATGGGGGCAGGGCTCTGAGGATGGGGGCGGGGCTCTGAGGATGGGGGGAGGGCTCTGAGGATTGGGGGGAGGGCTCTGAGGATGGAGGGGAGGGCTCTGAGGGCAGGGGAGTGGGGCTCTGGGTGGTTGGCAGCATTGGCCGGTGCTCCCTGGAGGGGTGGAGGGGAGTGGCAGGGTGATCTGGATGGATCACTATGTGCAAGTGATCCATCCTGAGCTGTCCTAGCCTTCCCAGCATCAGAATTTCCTTTTTTCAAAAACGTCATTAGAGGTCCCCACCCCAACCCCATGGCCTAACCAACACTTTCTAAGTCATTCGCACTTTCTTTTACTCTTGGTTTGGAACTTTCTCTGTTGTGGGTCTTGTTTACCACGCCTAGCCAGTCTGTTTCTGTGGAAAACGGGCGGATGACAGCAGTGCTGTCTCCTGGGCGGGGCGGGGCGGGGCGGGGCGGGGCGGGGCGGGGCGGGGCGGGGGCAGGGCGCAGGAGCCATGGAAGTGTTTCAGCGGATGTGCAGGCCGCGGCGCCTGCCACCCCACCTGACAGCGCCTCGGATGCCGTGGGTGCCACAGCTCTCTTCTCTGGCCATGGTTTCTTGTTCGGCTGTAACCTCAAATAGACTTCGCGCCTCCCTCTTCTCCCCCCTCCCCCCGCCCCCGCCTTAACCCCGCCCCAGGCCCTCAGAGGCCACTCCGATATCTCCAGCATTAAAAGTGGGCACTTGATGGACATTAAACGGGAATGAAGTGCGTGAAGGGAACAGCGCTGTGCCTGGAAGCCGGCCACGGGGACTGTGCTGTGACCTCGGAGCCAAGCAGAAGGGCCGGTCGGGCGCAGGGACGGGCTGGGGCCCCGCTCCAGGAGGCAGGGGCTGGGGCTGGGTCTCCCGGGTTGAGAACAGCAGCCAGAATGGCCCTTGGTTGTGCCTGTTTCACTCCGTGTTTCCATTGCCCTTTCCTCAGGTTCAAGGTATTCTGAAGTGTAATTGGATTCTGACTTCTCTTGAAGTCTCTCTGGAATGCAGAGCAGTCTCACTTTGGGTCCTCAGTTTTCAGATGTGAGCCAGGGCATATCCTGTGCATACGAGTGACAGCCGGTGGTGGGGTGAGCACTGCTCACAACGCGAGCTGGGTCTCCGCTTTTCCTCTGAGCGATGGCAGGCAGGCGAGTCTCTGCAGACCCGACCAGGGGCCAGAGGCGCCCCTGCTGGGACTGGGGGTGCGAGAGGCATGTGCGCACACTTAGCACATGCGTAAAACAGACAAAACGGAGCTGTTCTCTGTACCTTAGAAGAGACTCTGGCGCACTGTTTTCTCGGTTGTGGTCACAGTGGGCAGCGCCAGCTTCGTGCGGTGGCCGAGAGACCGGCCGGTGCGCAGCCGGCTAGGATCCCTTGCTTTGAAGGGTTCTGGGGTTTCCTGCTCCGGTTGACAGTGGCCTCCAAACCCGCGCACACGATCGCCTGGATAAAGATGAAACTCCTCGTCACCCCTGACAGGACTTCCATGGAACAGCAGGCGGGTTGTTAGGGCCGATGGTGTGTGTTCTCTGGCCCTTCCCCACCGACAGGACAACCCACACTTAGAACACCCGGTGCTCAGAGGGCAGTCTGTGAGGTTGCACCAAACTGCAGTGGGCAGTTTACCTCAAAAGAGGGAGGAAGGGCTGGAGGCAAGAAACGGGCCTGCTTCTCTGGTGTTTTTCATCCGGAAGGCCTGTGTGCCTTTTGGTAGGAAAATAGTCTTGGAGAAGGTGCCCCGGCCCAGCCAGCACGCTGGCTCTGTGCTCTATCATCACTGAGCCGCTCACCAGGGACTCCAGGACAAAGAGAACATCATCCCCTCCCAGCTCCTTCCTGAACAGTGCTCCATGCTCAGTGCTCCGTGCTCCGTGCTCAGTGCTCCGTGCTCAGTGCTCAGTGCTCTGTGCTCCATGCTCAGTGCTCCGTGCTCAGTGCTCCGTGCTCAGTGCTCCGTGCTCAGTGCTCAGTGCTCTGTGCTCAGTGCTCTGTGCTCAGTGCTCCATGCTCAGTGCTCCATGCTCAGTGCTCAGTGCTCCATGCTCAGTGCTCTGTGCTCTAGTAAATCTCCCCACGTCTCTGCTCTGAAGCCGGGGATGAGTTCCTGGGATCCAAAGGAGTGGAGGGCAGGCCAGAGGGACAGAATGAGCAGTTGGGGGCACAGTCCTTGCTCTGCAGTCTTGGCTGCTGTTGTGTTTGTTTGCTTGGGGCTTAAGTAATGAGTGAATGAGATGTCTCACTGCCGGCAGGCAGGATAGCGCAGCCTGTGAGGACGTGGCCGTGGCCTCCCAGTGGCTGTGGCTTCAGTGGCACACCGCAGTTGCTTAGCAATTCCTCAGTTGTGATCTCAAGGACAATATACGGCTTTTCCTACTTTTCAAAAGAGAGGCAAATTTATTTCCTAGACTTGTGGAATCTAAAGCAGAATGGACCTCAGGGATTGCCGGGAATCACCTCCCTTTATAACCAGGGTGGGGCGGGGGAGTTCCGTGACCGTTCCTAAGCAAAGCCTTAGGGGGACTCTGCCCACCGCCCGTCCTGGCAGGTCTTTCTCCCAGGCTCACCCAGAAGTCACCGAAGTGACTTCTTAAAACATCCAGAGGAATGTACTGACGATGGCCTGTGACTGGCTTTTGAAGGGATGGAGGCACACTGAGGGTGTCTGTGGAAGGTGACTGAGGAGGAGGCCGGGCCTTTGGGGCACAGGGGCTCAGGGGCCGCCAGACCCACTGCTGCGCCCCGGCCTGCGTGCGTTCCTGCTGTAGAGCGCACTCCTACGTGAGGTTTCTTTTGGAATGACTTATTCTGAAAATTAATATTCTGTAAAGAAACAATTCGGCCAAAGCTGGTTTGGCTCAGCAGTAGAGCGTCGGTCTGCGGACTGAAGGGTCCCAGGTTCGATTCCAGCCAAGGGCATGTACATTGGTTGCGGGCACATCCCCGGTGGGGGGTGTGCAAGAGGCAGCTGGTCAATGTCTCTCTCTCATCGATGTTTCTAGCTCTCTATCTCTCTCCCTTCTTCTCTGTAAGAAAATCAATAAAATATATATATATATATTTAAAAAAAAAAGAAACAATTTGGTGGTGCTGATAAGAATGTCATTTTATCATCATCAGAAATCTCAGGCCTGGAAGGGTTTCTTGTTTTTTTGTTTTACCCTTAACATTTATGAACCCAAGAGTGTGCTGGGGCGCAGGGGAGTTGCCTTCGCAGTCTTTCCGGAAGGTCCCCTCTGGTTCTCCCTTCCCGCAGGGCCTGGGAGCCCGGGCAGCGTGGCTCGCCCCCCAGCGTGGTGCCCGCTAGCCTCCGCAGCGTGCCCTGGCCCGGGGCCTGCTCCCGGGAGCGGAGGTGGACACGTGGCACGGCCGCTGCCACACGGAAAACCTCCCCGGGAAACGCGCTCGCTGACTGCCGTCCAGCCTCACACGTGGACGCAGCCGCCTCACGCTGTGCCTGCCGTGAGGGGCAGTTCTCAGGACGTGGCAGGGTGTTGCTTTGGGTGCATCACAGGAGAAGGGCTTCAAAGGAGCACTTTTCCAAACCAGTGCATCAAACAGACTTATTACTGAAACGTTGCTTGAGTTCAGGTATTTTGTTGGTGAGTTACTTGAATGTGCTAAGCACCTGTATGTCTTTGTTTCCTCTTCCAGAATGCTCGAAGATGACCTCAAGCTAAGCAGTGATGAAGAGGAGGGTGAACAGGTAAGCTCCTGCTGGGCATTGTGCTGTTCAGCTTGGCACCGTGATGCCGACCTGGCAGACCGTCCTGGACGTTGGCTGAGTCATACAAATGCTGAGACATGGGGCTCAGTGATGCTAATGACATTGTTTGGTGCCGTTGGGAACATCTGTTAAAATATCTTGACCTTAATTTCCCTTAAAACAGTAATTTTGTGCTTTTTTATGGCACCGAAACCAACAGCAGCTATTTATAAGGAAGCTAGCGGGGTCAGGCTTCATAGTGAAAGCCTCTTTCTGGAAAGCTGACTGGCCTGCTGGCGATCAGGCATGGTCCTAACCTCATCAGCATGCAGCAGGCAGGCTGTAGCATTAAATATTGAGGAGCCTTACGCAGTTGTTATTAACACTGAGAAGAGGCAAGCACAGAGGTGAGCTCCAGTGATGAATAAGAAAGCTTCATGCTCAGGATAGCCCGTTTGTCTTAAATGATAAATGTGCTTGAAATGTTCTCCTTTGGTGTTGATTTATCAGCTTCCAGACATTAGTCGGGGCTTTGTAAATACTCTTCTGATCAGTCAGTTAAAGTGAAAAAATACCCACTCAACATTCATCACCGTCACGTCTGTACTCCAGGCAGTGCCTGCGTTTTGAAGCATGTTTGAAAACACTAAAGACAGATTTCCCTACCCTGTTTCCTTTTTCTTGTTACCTGTGCTGCGTTTTGTCAGTTTGGATAAATGTGGTATGTCCAAAAACGACTAAGACAGAGAGGTTTTTCTACGTCATTTTTATGTGCCCTACAAACCACATGTGCTGTTCGGTCGCTCTTGGGAGAGGGAATTTTACATACGGTACCGTGGGGGCGGTGCAGGCGCTGGCGAGACCTGCAGGTGGGAACGATGCACAGAGAGTGTGCAGAGGTGAGAGAACAGTGAAAGGGAACTTGCAGGAAGAGCGTCTGAGCAGAGTGTGGCTAGGAGAGCAGCAAGCAGAGTCTGCTTACCTCGTGAGAGGCGGTGAGGCACCAAAGAAGCCACTTGGCGTGAGGTAGAATTCGGTGCCTCTTGAAACTGGATTGGCAAGCAGAGGCAGCCCCAAGTGGAGGGAGGTTAACCGAACCCAGAGGACCACTCAGGCTTCTTGGAGGCTGACTCGCTGGTTCCAGGCGGAGACACCAGGGCAGTCAGCTGGCCACAACACAGCCACCGCGCTAGACCCAGAGCAGCTCCCGTCTGGGTCCTTGTCTGGGTGACGATAAGCAACTGATTTCATCTCTGTGTGTTTTCCCAGGGAGAAGTTCACATAGGTGTGTTGTGGATTCAGTCATATCAATGTGTAGATTATGTAAACTTCACATTGGAAAAGGGATTTACAGGCTATTTCATTCAGCAAGCCTTGTTTAATTCGGAAAGAATTTCCTGAATTGTTTCCAGGAAATATTTTCACTGCAAACTCAATTTTTCAAAAACTAGTTATCAAAAATGTTCTCTAAGACAGCAGGAACTTTGAGTTGACTCATCTTGCTTTATTGGTGACTTCTTTTCCATCTGTAGACACTGATGTTATTGTATTGTGATGATAGTGTCAGATCCTTCATTCTTGCATGTAGTCCCTATGTGTGGGCACCTTCCCACCTTTGCAATGAAAGCAGCTGACAGAATGAATGACTTTTATACAGTAATCTCCTCTTTTTAATTAAGGCTTCACACCGTAGTTGTGTGTGGTAGCTTCAGGGATTGCTCTAACACTAATTATATTATCTGGCTCTAGCCTATAATTATACCCTGGCCTAATTACAAAATCGTAATTTCCATGCTTCTAAAAAACTCTAATGACATGGTGTGTTTTTTTCTCTCCAAGACCAAAACACGGTTGTGCCGGAAAGCGTGGATGGAGCCTGGGCACACGTGCACACACTGCGTTGCTCTGGTATTGGGAGATGATAAGACAATTAACACAACTGACTCTCGGGCGTACTCGGAGCTTGTCCCTTACTCAAATACTTCAAAAATACTAGTGTATTGTACATTTCCCGGTCTTAGTAAACATAGTAAAAGAAAATGCTTCATCTTTTCTTCCTTGATGCCTGGTTGCCCTGTGACTATTGGCCACCAGCCTGGGCAGCCCCTGTGATAAGAGACAGCTGCAGAGCATCAGCTGAAGTGCCTGCAGGCCCTAGTGCATCCTGTCTAGTGTTGCCTTTGTCCTCACTGCCTTGGTGCCTTCAAGGACAAGTAGACAGGCAGTAGAGTGGGTGAGCATGGGCTCAGCATCCCTGCTCCCTGGGTTCAAATCCTTGCTCTCCGACTCGGTAATTCTGCAACCTTGGCCCATTGCCTGAACTGCTCTTTGCTGCAGTCACACTATTTGTAAAATTGGAATTAGCTTGAGGTCCTCAAAGCCCGCCACTCCCTCAGAACTGTGCTTCTCTGCTATCTTCATGTCACCAGATCAAATAGGCTTTTTGTTGTTTTCTAGTAAACTTATAACTGAGTAAAGCACACATGGAGGAAAGCACATGTAACCTACAAATACACCTCGATGAGTATTCATAGACCATGCATTACATGTAAACTGCCCGTGTCCAGGTCTCTCAGAGAGCAGTCGGGCCAAAGAGTGTGTGCACATTCAACTCAAGTAGGTTGTCCCAAACCACCTTCCAAAGCGGCTGCACAGCTGACATGCCCACCAGCAATGGAAGAGAATTCCAGTTGCTCCACATCCTCACACTTGTCTGTTAAGCTCATGAAGGATGTTGTTCTTAAGGCTTCTTTCTTGGTATCATCTTTGTCTAGTCTTGGCAGAAGGCCAACATGGCTTGTAAAATGAATTGAGTCATGTGCCCAGCTCTTCCCCATTTTTGAAGAGATTGTATAACATTAGTGTTAATCACTCCTTAAAAGTTGTAAGAATTCTTCAGTGGAACTTTGTGGGCCTGGAGATTATAAAAATTTGCAAATTCTATTTTCTTTCTAGTTAAAGGGTTATTGGATTTTTTTCACATTGGATAGCTCAGTAGTCGGCATACTCATTAGTCAACAGAGCGGCAAACCGCAGCTTGTGAGCCACATGTGGCTCGAGAGCCGCAGTTTGCCGACCACTGAGATAGCTTATGTGCTCTCCAAATAATCACTTCATTGTGCCAGTAAGTTGTCACGTGTATAGAATTGTATTCCTTTTTTGTCCTGTTGATGTCTGAGCTATCGTGATACGCGTTTTATTCTTGATACTGACCTTTATTTTTGTCTTTGTCAGTCTTCTTGAATGTTTATCAGTTTTATTGATCTTTTCAAGCTTTTGTTTCATTGATGCTCTCTATCAATTTTTCTGTTTTCAATCTCATTAATTTCTTATCTTTATTATTTTTCTATTGGTTGCCTTGGGTTCATTTTTGCTCTTTTTTTTCCTAGTCTCCTGAGAAAGCTGAGATTATTAATTTAAGATTTGTCCTTTTTCCTAATATAGTAAGCATTTAGGGCTGTATATTCATTCTTATCACTGCTGGGGGAACCCTAATCAGAGTACGCCCGATGGTCAGGGCCAGTTTGCCTTGTGCATGTGCAAAGGCAGTGACACAGCAGTTTTACTGTACACAATGCACAGGCGTACCTTTCTATAACCCAAATATTGATATCACTATTTGGCAAGAAGACTCTTTTGTCTAAGTTAGTATAAAGATACTAGATGCCCGGTGCATGAAAATTTGTGCACTCAGGGGAGGGGTCCCTCAGCCCGGCCTGTGCCCTCACAGTCTGGGACCCCTCAGGGATGTCCATCTGCCACCACTGATCGGTCACTGTGATATGCACTGGCCACCAGGGAGTGGACACTCAATGCAGGAGCTGCCCCCTGGTGGTCAGTGCGCTCCCCGGGGATCAGACCTAAGCTGGCAGTCAGACATTCTTCTGGCAGCCGGGGATGTCCGACTGCAGCCTGAGCCTGGGGCCTAGCCCACAGTCAGACATTCTTAGCACTGCTGAGGGCGTGGGAAAGGCTCCTGCCTCTGCCGCTGTGCTCACAGCTGTCAGCCTAGCTTGTGGCTGAGCAGAGCTCCCCTGTGGGAGCTCACTGACCACCAGGGGGCCCCTGCATTGAGTGTCTGCCACCTAGCGGTCAGTGTGCATCATAGTGACCAGTCATTCCTGGTCGTTCTGCCTTTAGGGTCAATTTGCATATTACCCTTTTATTATATAGACACATGTGTCAAACACAAGGCCCGCGGGCCAAATCCGTCCCACCAGGCCTTGCAATGTGGCCCGCACCACGCTGTCATCACTGCACTCCACTGCGTTTCCATCACAATGACAGTTTATGACTGTTCAGTAAACCATTCGGCCCGCGATTTAGGCTGGATTTTAGATTTTTGCCCCTTCTCTGATTGAGTTTGACACCCCGAATATAGGATTATTGAATAGGATATTGTTACCAGCCGGTATGTGGCTGCTTTGTAGGGCTGCTTTAAAGAACTGTTTTAGCAGATGGCTCCTTGTTAGCAATGGCTATTCGGTCTGCAAGGAAGTCTCTCCTGTTTGCCTAGGGCTGCTCACATCTTCTGCCAGTGCCTACAGGCTGCGGACATGCAGCCCTAGCAGAGAAGGAGCTGTGAGGAGCTGTGCCCTAGCTGGATGCCACAAATGTCGAGATGTAGTCTCAGTGTCATTCAGTTCAGTGAGACTTCCTCTTGGGCACGGGGATTATTGAGAACCATATTGTTTCATTTCTTAAACGTTTAGAGATTTCCTGTCATCTTACTTGTATCGGCTTCCAGTTTGGTTCCATTGTGGTCAGAGAACAGAACACGTGCTGTGTCATCTCAGTTCTAGTGACTTTATGGAGTATTTTTTATGCCCAAGATATGGTGTGTGTTGGCATCTGTTTCATGGGCTCCTGAGAGAACATCTAACCTGCTGCTGTTGGGTGGGTGTTCTGTAAATACCCGTTGTATCCTGCTGTTGACGTTGCTGAGTCATTCTATATCCTTGCTGACTTTCTGTCTCGTCACTCTGTCAGTTGTTGGGAGA